TGAATTTAAATTTTATGGAATCCACCAAACTATTGGAAGTTCCATAAATAAAATTCAAAAAAATGAAAAAAATGATTTTTTATCCTACCAAGCTCTTGGAAAATTGCATCTCAAGTTAAATATTACCAAACTATTAGGAGATTTAATGAGTTTTCTCGAAAGAATAAAATTTTTATAACCATTTTCAAATAAAATCTCATTAAACTATTAAAAGATTTGCCTTAAAGTAAATCCTACCAAACTATTGGAGGATTTTTCTATTTTTTTTGAATAAAATACATTAATAAATCCGAAAATGGAGCCTCTTCAAAATAAAACACTAGTCTCCGTGAATACTCATGAGGTAAGAGAATTATATTAAATTACTACCAAACAATTGGGGTAATTTTAAGATTAATTTTCAAAAATAAATATTTTGGTAAACTATAAACATATTTAAGGCTTGGATAATTTGAAATCAAACTGGTATCATATTTTGGATGGGTCTGTGGGGTGCTATAACCTTCTTCACAGGTAATTGTACTCTTGAACCTAAAATATGATTTCATGGATCAGAATCTACTATTTAAAGATACCTAAGTTAATCTTGGAACTCCCTTTTAAATGGGACAAATTCAATCAGGTGGCCAATCACACCTAAACAAAAAAGATTGGTGGCAACTCCTGAAAAATCATATCTAGCGATAAGTCCATGAATCTATACGTTATGACAGTGTCCCATTAGAGTAAAGCCAGTCCATTATGTTGCTCAACCCAAGCAACAATACAATCCATACTCTAATACCTACAATCCAAGGTGGAAGCAACATCCTAATTTTTCATAGGGTAATAACTAAGGGCAAGTTTTTAATTCCTATAATAGACATGTTAACCCACCTAGTTTCCAACCACCACCACCACAACAACACCATCCACCTCCATAACCCAAGAAAAAAAACCATCCTTAGAAGAAATGTTCACTTAGATTTTACAAAACCAAGTAGCCTTTATAAAGAACCTTAAAGTGCAAGTTGGTCAGCTTGTAAATGGCCTCAATAATTGCCCTTAGGGAACCTTACCTAGCAATACTAAGCACAACCCTAAAAGACAAGGTAAAGAACAAGTTAATAGCATTTTTACCCTAAAAAAAGATGGGTCAAATAGGGTTTTGAGGAAAGTTTTTTATTTGGAAAAGTCTATGCATGATGAAATAAAACATGATCCTAGTGAGGAAGAGATTAAAGAAGAAGATGAAAATAAGGAATATGAACTAACTGAAGAAGATGAAGAAAAAGAACATCAAAGACAAACTTTAGAAGTAGCATCATCAACACCTAGATCTATACCGAAAGTGCCACTCAAGGAGTTGGAGAATGCTATTTTTGTGAAAGAGTGTAGTCTTGCACTTCAACATCTCTTTCTTAAAAAAAAATAGATCTAGGGAGTTTTACTATTTTTTGTAGAATTGGTCATTTAAAATTTGATGAAGCTTTTTATGATCTTAAATCTAATATAAATCTAATGTCTATGAATGTTTTCATGCAACTAGGAAAAGGTGTTTTGAAATATCCAAATTGCACTATTAAGTTTGTTAATAGATCTATAAAGAAATCGTAAAAACTATTAGAGAATGTGTTGCTAAAGGTCAGAAAATATACATTTTTGTGGATTTTATGGTACTAGAAATGGAAGATAATGAAGCATCCTTGTTGTTTTTGACATCCAAAACCTTGATTGATGTATATAATTGTGATCTTACACTGAGATTTAAGGACAAGAAAATGTAATTTATAACTGATGGATATGGTATCCTTAGAGATGAGAAGGATGTTCAAGCAATAATAAGAGTTAAGGAAAAGGATAAACCTAGGAAGTTGAACTTAATTTCTAAACCTCCTAGTCCGTTATTGAAAGACCATTTGGCAAAACCCATGAGCCTTAGCTTTTACAAGCATGAACTTGAAATTTCTAGGCCAAAAATGAATCCAAGTTCAACTTGATTTATTCTTGCAAGGAAAATGAGTACACCTCCTAAACGTAACTCAGTCTATGTAATACCACAAAGGAGAATACAATAAGGTAAACTCCCTCCTAAAAGGATAAAGTGATTGAAGAGTTCTAGAAAGAGTTAGTCAAGCTTAACTCTAACTAGCACTAATTGGGAGACAACCCAAGTTTTTAATTTTTAGTTTGCATATTTACTTTTAGTTTGATTTGTTAAGAACATGTAATGCTTTGGTTTTCTTTATTTTGTTTTTGTAGGAAATAAGAGCAAGGAAGCTAGAATAAGGTTTAGCAATGGTGGATTTCTTCAATGCAGTTTCAGCCATTACCATTTTAGGGGAGTAAGAGTATCTTTTTTCTCTTTCATGCTTTTATGCTTTATTTTCACAAATTGGGGACAATGTGTCATTTAACTTAAAGGGAAAGAAAATTTATGCCAATTTTTTTCAAAATTTTTTTCAAAATTTCTTTTTGAGCTTATTTTGTCATGTTAGAATCATTACACTTCCTATGATTATTTTCTCATAATCCAATGATAATAACCTTAATTGACTTTAAATATAGCTTTTTAAAAAGTTTGAATGTAGTAAAGGCATGAGATAAATTCTTGAAGTAGTTTCTTTTTACTTGCAATATTTTCATATTCTTCAAACATACTTAGTCTTGATCATTGAGATGTAAGTATATTTAGTTGAAGTTGTGTAGATGTGAAGTTGCATTGATCTTTGAAGTCATGTATTGATTTTAGAATTTGTTAGAGCATCTTTTGAGGTGAAATATTATACCACACTTAACTAGGGAGATGATTTAGGCCATCTTTGGATCATTTGAGCCTTTCAAGCTAACCTTTATTATATTTATCCCTAGTTACCCCTGTTGGAGCCTAATAAATATATATTCCTTTCTTTGTTTTTCACCTACATAAATTAGCTACCCCATTGATTTATTGTTTTTTTCTTTCTACCTTACCCTATGTGTATATGGATTAATCAAAGAAATATAAGAGTTATGTTACATTTAGAAAGGAAGGGTGGAGTCTGCAGTTGAAATTATTATGCAAAATTCAGTTTCAAGCAAAGGATAGAAAAAGAAAACGCTAAAAATAGCTTTTCAACAAAGAAAAAAAGAAAAAAATAAAAGTAAAGAAAGGAAAAAATAGTGAAAGAGAAAAAAGTGAAAAATAGTAAGGTATTCATGTAAATCAATAAAAAGTTATTGTTTGAAAAGAAAAAGAAAAAAGAATTTAAGTTTAGGGGCATTATATTTTCTTGGAAGTTCTCTCATAAAAGTGCAGATCCTATGTAATGCATGTTTGGGGTTTATGAGCCTAAATTTCCCTTTATCATACCTTAACCGTAACTTGGCATTACAAGCTTAATAAAAACCTATTGATCTTTGGTTAAGTTGTGGCTATATTAGTGGAAAGAGTATGTGAAAAGCAAACTTATGAGATTTGTGCATGCTTTGAGGTGATTTGTTAATTTCATATTTGCTTAGCTTTAGTTAAATATCTCGAATTAATTGGAGATAGATTATTTACACACACATGAAAATTTGTGAGTGGAATGCAAGCTTATTCTTAAATGAACTTTGTGTTGGATCTATGCTTATGATTTTCTTTTAAGATATAGTCATTATGCCATTTTTGAGGAATCATAAGAATCTAATATTGGGAGTGTGTGATGATGTCTAACATGCCATCTAGTTTGGTTTTATTTTTGCTTGAGGACATATAAAAGTTTAAGTTGGGGGGTTGATAACTCTATAAATAAAGTTGTTTGGGCTTATTTTTAGTGCTTAAATGATTAATTTTTTACTTGATTTCTTAACAAAATAATGTTCTTTTTATAGCTAAATGGTATAATTTTTTATTTTGTAGGTTTTCTTGAGGAAAAAAGTTAAATCTGGAAGATTTCTGATGATTCTTGATCAATCTTGATATTTTTTGTGCATAAGAAGGGAAGCTGTTGATGTTCTTAGAAGTTATTAATTTCTTGGAAATCTTGAAGTTAAAGAATGAAAAGAAGTTCAAGATTTGGTTTGTGAAGTTCAAGTGGAAGTTAGAATGTGTAATATTGGAAGAAAAATAAAAGAAATTCAGTCAACATTTAAGTTGGTAACTTTCGGCTATAAGAAGGTCAAAATGGTAATTCAAGTGATTGCAAGTCCATAGAGTTTAGGAGGTGCACATGATGGGATTATTTATCAAAATTAAGAATAACATGTAATCAATTGTATTATTTTCAACGGGCAATGTGGGAATACTAATATTTCCCCAAAGCGTAATTGACTCTTGAACTTAATTTTGATTTCGCATATAATAAATTTTTTTTAATAAACTCTAAACTTGTTTTAAATGTTTTATTAAAAAAATAAAAATTTTTGGATAACCAATCATATTAAAAAAAAATTGATGATGATTCTCCAATTTTGAGTTTATGAAAAATACTTTTTATCTGCCTTTTTCCCTACGTTCAACTATTGGGTTCCCAAACCCGCCAGTGATTACAAAGCCCTATCTAGCAACCTTAAATATTGAAGCTAAAATGTCGCAATGTGTTGTGTTCTAACTTTTGTTTGAGGTCCAATATGATCTGGTGGAGCCATAAAGGAGTTGGAGTTGAGTGATTCCTCAACAATGGGAATTTGGCTCACGTGAGACCAACAACGGACCCAAATTATTTTTAGGGTGTCAATTTATAATATATGTAAAAATTTGTAAATAAAAATTTGAAATAATATAATTCTATATTATTACAATTATCGTCGTGTCTAAAGAAAAAAATATAATTATATCATTATTAATATTATTGAATATATATTTTTTCGATATACATAAATAAATAATTATTTAACAAAGAATAAAAAATTTTAGGATTACTCGGGAAGAAGAATAGTTGGCGGATCATTTTTCTTGCTTGATATTCGTAAGAAAATAGATGATTATACTCACTCTTCAGACCTTTTAGTCTAATTATCAAGTACTCCATTTCTACTGTTCATTTGTCAAGAATTCAAGCTGATGCTGCTGCAAGTCATCATTTTTTTTTTCCACATGATGTGCTCATCACTATTTTTATTAGTTATGGCGGTTTTCTCAACTCTCTCAAATATTGATACTTCCTTCGCACTCTCCCTCTTAAACTCACAAAAGGAACTTCCGTTAGCACACAGAATCAAGATGAATTAATGGTCCTTCTATTTTAAAAAATGGCACTAGTATTCCATATATAGGCACTGGAATAGTCATAAAATTGTGGTTTAAAAAATAAAAGAGCTGAGATGTGCAAGTGAGACGATAGTAGATAAATAATTTAATGTGTAATATATAATACACAAGTCATTCCTTCAGTAATTCCTTTTTCTTAGAAAATACAAGCACATATAGGATATTGAAAGCAGACATCATAGTTCCTATTGGTCTCATGTTTGTTTTAAATATGTTTATATTACATCGAGAGCAGAATATATATATAGGCTATGGTAATGAAGTTCAAGCAGTAGGGTAAGAAGCTTGCATTGCTATGCCACAAAGGCCTTCCTTTGCGCCAACATCTCTCTGCATCCTAATGTACCCTTCTTCACCCCAGCTAGTGCCCCAAGAGTTCTTTACTAACCAATACTTAGTCCCATCAGCATCCACTCCATAACCAACAGCAGCAACACCGTGATCTAGGTCAGTGCCACAATCTCCTGTAAATACACCACTTGAGTAGAACTGGAATTCAAACCCCCCAGCATCAATAGCAACAGAAACCGGCTGGTTTGCAACTGCCTTCTGTAATGCCTCTTCATTATTGGCTGGCACGTCTTCATGTCCATTAATATTGGCTGCATGGTTGGCTTCCCTGTTGGTATTGCATGTGCCATCAACTCCCTTGTAAGGGTAATTCGATTCAGTTGTGAGGCCTTTGTTTTTCTGGATGAATTGGAAAGCATCGTCCATCAAACCACCCTGACAGCCTTGATCTTCACCTTTGGTATCACAGTCAACCAACTCCTGCTCAGACAAGGAAACTAGCTTACCTGTTGCTAGTTTAGTAACCCCTTCCATGGCTGCCACAGCCGAAAATGCCCAACAACTTCCTGTATTTCAATCATACATCGACAGTTAGAACTAATAATTAGCTAGAAGAACCAAAAACCATTATTTCTTATAAAAACTTTGAACATACCACATTGGCCTTGGTCCTTAATAGGTGTTACAGCTCCTTTATTTCTCCAGTCCACGGTAGAAGGTAATGCAGTGAAATTTTCATATTTGAAAGTCGTAGCCTTGTTGGAACACATATGGCCCTTGAACCTATTTCGAGAAGCAATGAACTCTTCGTTTGTAAGATCTGCAAATTGATTGACACCGAGCTTGTAAGGTTTGTCATTGGCACTATTGAAAGATTCTATGCGAGCCACATTTTGTTTGAAAATATTGAAACGTCCCTCCCTCTCATTGTTGTCCTGGTACACTCGTCCATAACGGGCCATCCATTGCTCATGCCTTTCATACATCGATGCATCTTGAAGAGAGCGTGATGTGGCTTGACAAACTAAAGCACCAACTGTGAAGATTAAGGCCAAACAAATGCATTGGTACTGGCTTTTGTATGCCATGGCGGGGTAGCTGCTAGGATTGAAGAGTTGAAAATTGATAAGGCACACTAAAATTTGATGAATCCTTTCACTTATATAGTAAAAAATTTCCTGAATAACATACTTGTTTTAGGAACTTTGAGATCACTTCTTGCTTATCTTCGTGCCCTTGAAGATATTCTGATGAAGACTATTATCAGAATTGGTCTGATAAATATGGTAGAATGAATGGAGTTAATGTTCAAACTTAAATCCATGTACAGGTATAGTTTATAGACAGTTTTATCGTTAGTGATAGTGGTTTGGAAGGAGTTGGATTTTGTATTCAAAATAGCTAACCTCATATATATTAAGCCGAACAAAATTGGTGTCATCGTGCCGTTTCAGTCATGTGACAATTAAGGAAAGCTGTTCGTTAATAGTTTAACTTCCTTTGCTCTGAAGCTTTGCCTAAGCCTAGACTTTTGCTCTTCGGTTGAAAATTTGTCCAAGAAACAACGGAAAAACACACAGATAAATCAACCAAACCAAAATGCACTATAATTTACATGGCGCGGCCACTTATCTACATTTACGGATTAAATAATTGTTCTACTATTAAAAAATTTCAAGTACAATAAAATATTTTTGATGGCTACTCAAAAGTGCAATAAAATTAGAAGGTCTTTCCTTCTAAAACTCCCAAAAGTATTATCTAATTTCTAAAGTTTAAAAATTACTTTTATCTTATATATATATATATATATTATGTAACAAAATACATAAATAAATTTATCACACAAGCATCTATGTGAACAACTCTCTTAAATGATACGTAAGATAGTTTTTTAAAAAATAAAATAGTTTCTTTTAATTACAAATTAAAAAATTGTAAATTTTAAAATTATTTAAATTAGAATTGAAAATCAAATCAATTTAGAGATATATATATATTCTAAAATTAAAAATATGAAATATGGGCTTTAGTTTTTAATAAATAATTTTAATCTTTTAGCAAATAACTTTAATTTAAAAAATTATTTAATTATCAAAATCTTTCAAACATGTTTAAAAATTATAAAGATTAAGTTTATTGAAATATTTCAACAAATTTTTTATCTTGATTTAACAAATTTACGTAAGACATTAAAAATTCAAGCAATTTGATGTAAGATTTTGAAAATTCAAAAAAATTTTATTTTAATTTTTAAATAATAAGATTATCAAAATGATTATATCTATTTGAACTCTAATTATGAAATTTATATTTCAAATAAATGCAAAAATTTTAATATTATCTTTATCACTTATTATATCCATTTTAAGTTTTAAAAATTATCTATTTAATCCTAATTGTCACTAAAATATTTTTCTACAAATTTAAGATTACAAATGTAATGTGTTATACATCAATTTTTTTATTTTTTCAGTAACTTTTTTAAGGTATATTCTGTTACTATTGCAATTTGTTTTTTTTATTTATATATTTTTTCTACAATATATTTTATTATTATTATAGTTTTATTCTTATAAAAATTAATTTTTTTTCTCTTTTCACATATTTTTTAACTTTTTTCATATTTTGTATAATAATTTAGTTAAGATTACTAAAGTGAAAATGTGTTAATAATTCTTTTATTATTTAATTTATCATTCAATAATATATATTTTTATTTTTTAAAAAAAGATATAATTTATTTTATTTGATAAAATTTTATAGGTGTATAAATATTATTGTAAACAAAAATATCCAAAAGAAAAACATAATTTTTTTTACTATTTTTAGAAAGTTTATTTTTTAATGACAAGTCAATATTTATAAATTTTATATATGCTATGAGCTTTAAAGATTTGAATATAATTTTTAAAAGAAATTAGTTTATATATATATATGTATATATTCATATGCACCGCATGGATTATAATTTAGTTATAGTATAAAGTAACAAGCAAAGTAGGATTAGAACACAATGTAAAATAGGCATTAAGATATTACATTGAGAACAAAGTAAAAGTAACAAATTTCACATTTCGTATGAATTCAAACTTTTTAAGATTCTTACACTAGGAGCTTTCAATAGCAATTCTCCAATTCCATCTATTGATTACATTATTCTCCAACTGCTAAATTCAACAAAATTTCAATACAAGAGTCTGAACGTGATAAGCTTGTTGCGAATGCTTCTAATTAACAACAACTATGTTGACGTGGATGAATACCTGGTCACCACCTAGCTTCAGGCAAAGCAACCTTCTTTTCTCTCTAGATAGAAACTCTGGTATCTTGATTTTTTATCCCAATAATAATTGTTTTTTTTTCTAATAAGGTTCTAATTTGTAATTTGAACAACTACGTACTACTATTAAAAGAGATTGGTTAAAATTAAGAAAATAGAAGGAAAAAAATAAAAACATATATTGTCAGAGGATACAACTGAAATTTCAAAGTAATTAGAATATACTTGTCATAATGTATCAGTTTGAAAACGCGATTGCTGGATGTAAAAATTAAAATTCGTGAAAAAATACAGGGAGTTACCCCCAATATCTTTTTTATGGTGTGATTAGTTATCCAAAAATTTTATCTTTTTAATAAAATAATAAAACGGGTTTAAAATTTATTATAAAGATAATTTTGATCTATGAAATAAGATTAAGTTCAGGAGTCGGTTATGCGTAAAGAAAGATCAACATCCCCACAAAACCAATAAAATTAATATTAATTAATCATGTGGTATTTATAACTTTGGACAAAAATGGTTTCTATATAAAATTTACTTATAATTTTTTTCATCTTTTAGAAAGAAAATTAATTTTAAAAAATCTTTATTAAAAAATATTATGAAAATTTTAGATTGAAGAATACCTTCAAATTCTTTAACATAAAAGCATAATTCAAAAATAATCTTTTCATCTAAAATTTATCGCAACATTCCTTATAAAATAATAAAATAACATTCTTTGTAAATGATAATTATTGGTAACTCTCCAACATCGAGATAGAATGCCAACACTTATATTTCATGAAAAGCTATTTTAGTTTTCTTCGTTTGAAACTAAATTTTTTTAAGAACTTTTTATGCAATAAAAAAAAAGAAATATAATAGAATTAATTTTAAACATCAATAATTAGAATAAACATATATAAGCATTATACATGTACACATTAATATAAAAAAAGGAGATGCATGCAAATGATGATAAAATGCGAATTTAGGAATCAGATTTTCAAATATAAAAAGATCACTTAGACTTTCCAATCTCTAGATAGAGTTTAGGTATAACTATTTATATTTAAAATCTCATTCTATTCTTTATTATTTTATATTTATATATTTTTTATTTTAACAAAACAAATTTATTTTAAGTTGCAAAAAATGTATAAAAATTCTTAATGACATAAATTTTCTTAAATACCTTATCATCTATGCAACATTCAGGAATAGATTATTTCATAAAAAGTTTTCATATCAACTCTTGAATCTTGGGATGATTTTAAGGTTTGGAATGAATTTAAGGTTTCACCTTAGGGTTTTAGGGTTTGCTTATGATTTAGGGTTTCATTTAGGGTTCAAGGATTCACCTAGGATTTTAGGGTTCTTGGGTTTACCTAAGGTTTAGGGTTTCATTTAAGATTCCATTTAGAGTTTTGTTTTAATATTTCAAAACTTTACACACCTCTTTAGAAATCTCCAACTTCTAGGTAAACTTTTAGATAAAGTTTGTTTTTTCGATTTCTCTAAAAAATGAATTTTTATATTTTATATTTTTTTATTAAAATATTATTATTATTATTTAATTTTTTATTATTTAATTTTTTATTTAATAATTTTCCTACATCTAAGCAGAACTATTATTATTATTTTTAAAAAACGTTTTTATTCCTTCCAACATGTAGGCTAGGATTTCATAATTTTGTTTTATATATTTTTAAAAAAATTATCATTATTAGTTTTTGCATAAATCTAAAAATATATAGGAAGTAAATTATATTCAAAGTATGGAATTTAAGCATGAAGAATTAAATTGCATAAAAATTAAAATATACATTGAAATGTGATCAACAAGGAAAATGAAATTCATGAAACTTAAATAATAACCAGGCTTAACCAACATAAAAAATGTGCATGAATATGAATAATATGAAATATAAATGAAAATAATCTTTAAAAATAAATTATCAGCCTCATGTTTTAAGTCTTTGTTTATTAACAAAATAATAATGAAATGTATATATAACAAAAAAAAAAATGGTTTACTCCTCATATGGTTTCCTAAATGCATTTTCTTTTGAATCAAAGCTTTTTTTCAATTAATTCCCAAATGAATATAAGCTACAAGAGAAAGTATACCCCATGCAGTGCACGAAATGAAGGCTTATGCTCCTGCAAACAAAGTATGTCGAACCAGAAAAATGAAAAATGATAAAAAAACAAATAGAAACAAATGAACCTTGACTCCATGCAACCTTGATATATTAAACAAATGCAAAGGAAATGAAAAGGAAAACCAAGACAAGTTCAATGCAAAGCATGAATTTCATGCAAACAGAACCTAATGGAGCTTTAAGTTCATACCAAACCACTTCATGCAAAAAATGAGTACCCCAGTTCTTCATTTTTTTTTCTTGTTTCTTTTGGCAATTGGTTTCTCATGTTGCTACTATTTGTGTTACCCCTTTTTTTTAATTCTGCTACCAGTTTTTTTTGTAGCTTCCTTATTTTTTTTGCTTTTTCTACTGGCCTTGTCGCCTACTTGCTAGTGTTTTTTTTTCTTTTTCCTCCTTTCTATTTGCTACTGGTTTGCTCAATTTTTTTTTATTCTTTTGTCCAAATGCCCGCCTCTTTCTTTTTCTGTTTGCTTGCCACTTCTTGCAACTGGCTTTTCTGCCATTTTTATGCCTTTTTTACCTCTTCCTTCATTGGTTTTTCTCCTCTCTTTCTTTTCCCTATTTCTTTTTTTTTTTTTTTTTATTTCCTCCACCCAAATGCTACTTTTTCTCTTGGCTTATTCTCCTATTTTTTGCCAAAAATTCTCCCTTGGTTTTCTTCTTGCTTGAATGTTCCTCCTTTCCCTTTTCCTTTCTTCAAGTTTGCACTTTTAGTTTTTCCTCATGCCTTGGATGCCTCTTTTGAAAAACATCCCTTTTTTGCCTCCACCACATTTTCTTTTCAGGTTTTTTTGCTTTTTTGGTTTTCTTTTTTTTTGGTTTTCTCTATAATTTTTTCAATTCCAGTGCTAGTTTTTTTTTTAGTTTTCTTCAGTTTTTACAATGCGAAGCCTTCAAACCATACCCCTTTCTCATGTTCATGCCTTTTTGCTCTGATGTTCATGTTACCCTTTGTAGTTTTCTTCTCTTTGTATTTTTTTTTCCAGCAGCTTCCCATGTTGGCCACCCAATTTCATGCATGTATTTTGGCTTTTCATACAATTTTTCTTTTTTTAGCCAAATGGGCTTCTTTAAT